CCCTGACCCCTAACCCCTAAACCCCAAACCGCTAAACCCCCAACCCCTAAACCCTAAACCCTAACCCCTGGCCCCTAAACCCTAAACCCCTTAACCCCCAACCCCTAAACCCTAAACCCTAAACCCCTAAACCCTAAGCCCTAAAGACCCTTTTTCTCCCCGCTTCCAGGCGCTTCCAGAAGTGGGCAGTCAAGGCTTCGGCAGGTCGGCCACGGAGCTGAATCTTCTGGGGGGGGTTAGGGTTTAGGGTTTAGGGTTTAGGGTTTAGGGTTTAGGGTTGGGGGTTCTTGGAGGCTTCTTTTTGCGGGTCTGTAAGAGGTATCATCATTATTGTTATCATTGTGGTTATTATTATTGTTCTTATCGTTATTATTGTTGTTATCAGTGTTATTATCATTATTGTTATAATTGTTGTTATTATTATTGTTCTTATTATTATTGCTGCTATAATTGTTATTATCATTATTGATATCATCGTTGTTATTATTATTGTTCATATTGTTTTTATTGTTGTTATCATTGTTATTATCAGTATTGTTATCATTCTTGATATTGTTATTGTTCTTCTTTGTATTATTGGTGTTATCATTGTGATTATTATTATTGTTATCATTCTTGATATTGTTATTGTTTTCTTATTATTATTGGTGTTATCATTGTGATTATTAGTATTATTATTATTATTATTATTATTGGTATTAGTATTATTATTATTAGTATTATTATTATTATTATTTTTATTATTATTATTATTGTTATTATTATTATTGTTATTATTATTATTGTTAGTGTTATCATTGTTGTTATTGTTGCTATTAGTAGTATAAGGGTTTGTTTAATTTTGGGAGCTTTAATAACTCCACGATCGCTTCGCAAGTAGGGCCAACCTCAGGTGACAGCCTGTTCAGCTCTGTACATCCAACATACTGTCACGGACCGTGCCTACTGAGACCCCCGGGAGGATCCAAAAAGTAGATCCCTTAAGGCCTTAAGGGGGTTCCTATAAAGTACCCTTTAGTAGTTAGGGTCCCAAATTAGGGGATCTACTTTTTACATCCTTCCGGGGGTCTGGGTACTGAGTGAATTCGGTGTCGGCGTAGCAACATCGACTCCCAAAAGCTCTCACGTGTCAGCCTCTTCTGCGGATGAACACGGCATGTGTGGGCAGATGTTGCACACGAAATACGAAGTGTGAAACAAACTCAGCGCTCAGCTCCTGAACGGCAGTGGGAGTGAAAACACGGAGTGAACAAGAAATCCTACACCCTCCACTTGCCTCTATAAATCCCAAATTTCCTCCCTCCGTTTAGGGATCCCATACACGTACCTTGTTGAAGAGCTGAAGCACTACAACAAAACGAGTGCCATAAGAAGTCATAAATACACGTCGCCGAGGCGTCCCAGACTGTCTATTTGAGGATACACGGAGACTCCTGGATCTATCGAGTTGTTTTGGAAAACACTTGCTGTGATGCCGCCGAGTATCTGCGAAATGAGAAGTACCTCCGCTGACCCAAATGCCTTGCAACATGGCAGGATCTGCAGCTCATGTAAGTCAGTCGGACTCATATCCGCAGAAACCCGCGCAGCAATGGCGGGCCTTTGGCTTGGGCATACTTTGCGAGGAGGTCGGACTCATCTCCAGCACTCCATCACAGATCTCGCCTTGGGGGCCGAGCAGGTCTGAAAAAACATGGAATCCTTTCGATCTTTGCACAGACGGATGTAAAATCATGTAAGGTTAGCAGAAGTGCTCAGGAAGCACTTCAAGTTGTCAAGGGTGTTGGATGTAGGGTGCACTTATCTTACTTATCTCATCTCTCTCGTGACCGGAAGATTAAAAACCCTAAACCCTAAACCCGATTGCGCAGTGGGCAACTGAGCGCCCTTCGTTTCGAGGACTGCCGCTTTGGAGAAGACCGAAGACCAGAAGAAGGGCCTGAGGCAAGAAGCGGCCTCCACTCCGAATGCTCAAGCCGGGGTTTAGGGTTTAGGGTTTAGGGTTTCGGGTTTCGGGTTTAGGGTTTGGGCATTCGCAGACTGGGCTACTGACTTGAAGCCGAGAGAGGTCTTCCTGGATTGATGCGGACCTTGACACGGGAAGCTTGCCCGGAGACCACAGGTGGAGGATGTGGTGACTTGACATGGAAGTGTCGGCGAACTCTGGACGGGGTCCAGACATCTGAGGTCATAGGTCGCGGAGCGGGGCCGCACGCCGTCTGAGAAGTCTCCTATGGTGACACTGCAGTGCTGCTCGTCCGCAGACCACTTGCAAGGACACACTGGCAGTGAGTTTACCCCGCTGCAGTGAGTGCAGTGTTTGGTTGCCCCAACAGGGTGTGGTCGAGCCTCCTGTCCGACACCAGCTTCGAAGCGACGCAGCAAGTTTCGGATGTCAGCCTCCTGATGCCCGATTCTCTGAACAAACCTGCATGCATCCGCGACGGCACGGCACTACACTATGTCAGAGGCCTCGCCGCGCTCTTGGGCACCTTTGCGTCGTCGACGGATGGCAGCCAAGGGAGTCCTGGTGCAGCTGCCGACGAGGCCCAGGAAGCAAAGCTTTGCACGTGCTGGGCTCCAAGCCCCGCCAGCGCCAAACCGTCCTCACCTGCTGTGAGGTCTGAAGCTTCTGACTCCACCTGGGTGAACAGGCCACTGCATCCCACAGCCCAGTGGTCTATGGAGTCTATGGCAGCTGGGGCGGCATCCTGTCGTGCAGAAAATGAAACCGACCTTCCAGGAAGCGCAGGGACAGCGGTGACAGCAGTGCGGCACAAGCTTTCAGTGGCCTGCTGCTGGCTAAGGCCGAAGATGCACAAGTAGTAGAGCCTCCGGAGGAGCTGCCCCAGGCCTTCAGTGTTAAAAGGTCAGAAGCCACGAGGAGCTGTAGCTTCTTCCGACTCGAACCAGCCAACCAACTTGAGGTTCTAGCTCGCTTGCTTGGGAAGAAACCTCCTGCACGCCTGGAGGCCTTTCAGCATAGCACAGCGTCAGCTCAGTCAGGTGGGTAGTTGTCAAAATTATGGTCCCTTTTGGGGTACCCTAAATAATAGGTGCCGTATTATAATAAGGACCCTAAACCCTAAACCCTAAACCCTAAACCCTAAACCCTAAACCCAAAAGGGGACCCTAATTTTGTATCTACCTCCCAAGGCCTCCCGAGAAGATCTCAGGGTGCTTGCACGGGAGGTCCAGGAAGTCGGCCTTGGCCGGAACTTTAACAAAAACACTAATAGTAATAGTAATACTACTACTAATACTAATACTAAT